AGTCTGTACTCTATGCAATGGGCATTAATTATTATTTTTACTTATTTTCTCTAATCATAATAATACAAATTAAATTGCAAATGCATTTCCAATAAGCTCTCATAATAGCAACCATAATTTCATTAACTTTGTTATCTTCCATCAAATATAAAGAATGGAATGTGGAGCAAGTGGCGGGGGCGTTCATTTCCGATCGATACGTTCCCACCGATGTCTCAACCTGGCTTGGCTATCGGCTAATTGCTGCCGCAATCGATTTCTAATTGAGCGCCTCTTCGCTCCATTACTCTTCCACTCCAGTGGCCAATGACAGAGGCCCGGCCCGGCCCGAAGACAGGCAGGCAGACAGGCAGAGCGAAGACCCCTGCCAATGGAAGCGTTAAGTGTTTAACAAGCTACTTTCCCACTTCAAAACACGTACACACGGACGGCACGGCACGGCACGGCACGGCACGGCAAAAAACGAACGGACTAGTAGTAGCAATGGGTGTCCATGTACGCGTCCGGGGTTGGGGGTTGGGGTGGAGGAAACAACAAAAAAAAATCCAACCAAAGTGTCGGAAATATTTCGAGATGACGGCCTACGATGAGATCTGGTGCTCATTTTGCGCTAATAAGTCCACAACGATATGACAAAGATAAGGCAAAAGGATGATGATGATGGGATGGGATGGATGCGTGCTGGTTGCTGGGTGGGTGGGAAATCATTACCAGTCAGAGGAAAAACCTGCCGAGGTCACGTTTCCGCACTGTGGGTGGGCAGGGGCCAAGGCAAATCCCACTCGAAATAAACAACAAACAAAACGCAGCAAATTAATAACAGCACCAGGGCAAGGTCCATCTACCCGTCCGCCCAAGCGGCCTCCCTTCCTCCACCCCATCTCTGGCCAGCAATAAGTGTAATTGCGACAATGTGGCTGCACTTACACGTGTCATCGCAACATCATCGGCCTCATCCTGCCCAAAAGTAACGTGCCACAGCGCACTTGCAGCATCCACCCCCGGACACAGAAACGGTTGCTCAAACCCTCCCCCGGGATACGAGTGTCTGCCCGGGACTTGGCACAAACCACAGTGGCACATTGTTCCCATTGACTTTTACATGTGTTCTTCGGGCGGGTGTACACTCCCCAGCACTCCCATCGAACTAGCTGCCTGTCAAAGCGAACTTTGGGGGATTACATCCCACGACAGTTGAAAAAATAAATGATGATAGCTGCTGTAATAGATTACAATATTAAATGAAACAGTCAACAAAACACCCAAAGCAACCGTAATTGTTAGCTGGGGATGCCATAATTATGGAGACTCTGAATTGCTCCTACTTTGATCCACAATTTGAGCTTTGGTAGTGAATCAGCGTTATATTGATTCAAAACCTGAGTAATGTGTGCAAGCTTTTGGTCCGAAATTAAGCATTAAAATTTTAGCAGCAGTAGCAGTTTCCTATTTATTCACTTTTGTGTTCTGTTCTACCACGAATCTTTCCACGATTGTTGCCCGTTCTTTCATCAATTTAAATACATTTAAAATCCACATTAATCTTTAATTTCTATACATTTTTTGTCAATCAACCAAAGAACTCTTCTCCCTTTTCTTTACAGAAGATTTTCTTTGTTGGATGGAAGCCACCCACTTGCTGTACGCGTTTCCGTTTCATTTTCCTGGAAACCTCAAGTGTGGAAAATTAAAATCCCCCCCCCCATATGATGCAGGGGTTTGACAACGCCGGGGCGAAGGTAACACAATACTGCGGGGCCGCATCGTCAGCAACTACTTAAAACGCAATTATATGCATTATTATTTGGCTGCTGCTTTATTTTTACACACAAATACGAGGAACACTCGCACCGCCAGGAGAAGGAGAACTACCCGGAGAACACGGCGAACCAGTAACCAGTAAAAAATGGAAGACGACGAGTATTTAAATGCCCACCTCAGCTACTAATTATTACCAGGAAAAACTCTTGAAATTGACGTTTCATTTTGTGGCGGCGGGGCACGTCAACACCAAAAGAGTGTGTGGCAAGCGGTGCGACAGGGGGAAGGGCGAGAAAGAGAGAGAGAGAGATCGCACTCCAGACTGCAACTCGGTGGATTCTCCGTCTGTTTTCACTCAACTCAACAAAAGGGGTAGCCGAGGTCGCTCGGAGTAGGAGTCCAACCTCAGCCACAACCACAACCACAACCTCCAAGTCAATGTCGAAGAGTCGTCGTGATTATGCACAACCCGAAACGATCGAACTGCACCGCGTCTGCTCCAACAGATTAACGCACTCCAGAAATTATAAAAAAATAATATTTTTCTTAGAACTGATACCATTTTAAGCGAATTGGTACTCGGCGCAGAGTCAACAAAATGAAGAAGTTCCACGATCATCCGCGGCCTGAGAAAATGTCTGGGGACCCCAGAACACAGCAGAGCAGAACAGAGCAGAGCATGTAGTGGATAGTGGATAGTGGAGAGTAGCGATCAGGGGGGGAGAGGCCGATATGAGGTAGGTAACACGATCGCCAGCGATGTGGAGGCAGACGGCATTGCGTCAAGTGGCAGCATCGGCGAGTCGACTTGTCTGCCACAAGTCTGCTCCACTGCCATCGACTGCTCTGACGCGCGATCGGGCCCTGGAACTTGCTCAGCAACTTGCCCTGGGTCTTGGTTCGCTTTTGGTTCCCAGGCAACCAGCACATGGGTTGGGGGGAACTGCCAATCGGGCCGCAGCTACTCCAACGACACAGCTCCAATGACGCTTGCACATTTTGACCGACTCCGAGTCCGAGTCCGAGTCCCAGTTTCAGGTCCGAGCCCGCGCTTCATTTAGAGCCGACTCTGACTCTCTATCGAGACATTGTTCACTTGGACGCGTCGACACTTGAGTAAATTAGTTTCGTAGAACTTGTGGGCAGGCTGGCCGCACTGACCATTCTTATGGGAGTGGAAATGGCCACACTGGCAGGAGGGGGGCAGGCAACCATATCAAGAAAACGATTCCAATATTGAGTAAATAAATGCTAAACTAATTTCCAAAATAAATCACCTAAAACTGCGAGCTCCTGTCGTATCCTACCCATCTATACAGATTTCTAAGTCAAGTGATTTGATCACAGAAGGGACACAATAGCCTGGCTCTTCCATATTTATCCTGCTCATTAAGTGTACACTTACTACAATAACTATGCGCACGAACATTTTGTGCAACTTTGCCGTTAAAAAAGCACGTGTCAAAGAGAATATGAAATTTTTATTTTTTTATGAATATTAGTATGTGTATTAGGCTCCCTAACTTCTAACTTATAAACAGCCCGCCGGCCCCCTAGACGGGCAAAATTCAAAATATCCTTATTCGCTATCCGCATTCCTTTTTGTCTTCGTTTTGCGTTTCCCTAATTCAGGGAAGTCCAAAAATTAATTTCCTACGTTTGCAATACATGCCAGCGCTTGCGTCAGCTGCTGCACTCATATGAAGTTGAAAGTTTGTGAAATTCAGGCGCAGTAATTAATTTGCAAAAAGTGAAAATTAAAAAAAAAAAAAAATTGAATTAAGCCGTAGCTGGAAAAAAATTATTGGCGTGTTGCTGATAGCTAGTTATAAAAAAGTAAGTTTTCGTTAGCTTTTTATTGCTTCTACAAGGAAGCCCGTCTAGAGGCGGACTTGGGACAATTCGGGGAAAAAAAGTTATAACTCAAGGCATATTTAAGTCCAAATGCAGCGACGACAAATACATAAGCTATCAGCTCTTTCAGATGTGGATATTTGAATTCAACGGATTTTGCGGTGTGAGGGGACGATTTAACTAGTGTTTTGGCGAGGCAGCGTTTACTGTCAATGATGAAGAGACGAAAGAGCGGTAAAGAGAGATTCTATGTTAGCCTAATTGCAACTTCGATTGCATCGAATTCAAGCACAGAACGAAACGCAGGTACTGGCTGTGAAGCCATAACCGATATTAAAAAGTGTGGCCCAAAGACAGTCTTGGATCTGCGTTCCTACTGCCTACCTTGGTGATGCACCAACCAATTGGAAATGGGAAAGCAGTCACCCCCTATTCGGGTGGTATCGTTCGCCAGCAGAAAAACGCAACAATTAAGAAGCAATTTGCATTTCAATGAGTCGCCTCCCAAGGATTCCTTTATACAATACACTGTTTTTACACAAATTTGTTTATATTTTGGTAAACATAAGTAACTTTTTTTATGGATACGCGAGTTTATTTTTTAGTATCCGTTTTTTTATACTTTCTTTATTTCTTTTTTAATAAAAAATGTAAACAACAAAATTTGTATACTGAAATTTTTGTTGGCCAACCTTCCCAAAGCCGCCTCTAGGCGGTCCAGGGTTTTGGTCCTATAAAACCAGATTCGTGTAAAAGTAAAAAAAAAAAAAATAATTATTTTGCGAAAAAAAATGTGGGCACTTGAAGGTTAATCAGGGGTGCCATAAACTGTCAAACCGACCGAATTCCAACCATGATGCAATTATAAGGTGGTCTTGTCGGCAAAGGCAGACCCTTAAAAATGCCTACAAAAAAGCTTTCTCTTCAACAAGCGAGCACGCCCTGAACGTAAAGGGACTACAACCCGAACGATTCGGCAGCCGACGAGACCACCTTATATAATTGCATCATGTTCCAACTATTCAGCTGAAATTTTTCTCAACACTGTTCATTGCAGCTGGCCAGCACTCTTTTGAGACACGTCTGCTCATTATAGCACCTTACGAGTTTCTCCCCAATGACCTCCAGAAATGAACAGCTCACTGTCGTCGCACTCGACTGTGGGTTTTGTACATCTAAAGGGCAGCAAATAATGTTCGCAGGATGAATATATATATGTGCAAAAGTTTCATCCAAAAGTCATAATAAAACTCCAGCTGACGATAGCGCGTTCTCCAACACTGTTAATTTAATATGCGCCACGTGCCAAACTTGATTCAAAACGTGTACAGCACTGCTGTACTCAGTGGCCGGGGTATCGATACTTTCATTGTGTCAAACGAGAACAATAATTTGTCAAATCATTTTGTCACAACCAAAAAGCAGAAAATAGCGGAAAAAAGTGAATTTCTGAAATTTTATCAAAATTATCGAGCAAAATGAATAATAACCAGAAGAAGAACGCGTGCGCGAAGCTCAACAACAAGATTGCCAAGGAGTGGGCAAAGGGAAGGTAAGAATACATAATGCAAGGCTAGATTCGGCGAACGTACAAAAGTGTAACATTTTAGAGAATCAAAGGAGTCGAAGCCGAAGGCTGGCTCAAAGCCGGAGTCGAGAAAGTCCAAGTTGGGGACTAAGTCAGGATCGAAATGGGAGTCGGAAAACGCATTAAAGCGCAGCAAGTACGTCACCAAAGAAAACAAGGAAAACGAAAATGCAGAGGACATGCCGGCAATGTAAGTGTAATCTATTGTACCTCCAACATATCTTGCATGCCTCGAACGGTAAAAGAATCTTTTATGGAGCGGTTCATATCAAGAATTTAAATGCAAAAACTATTTGCAGAAAATGTCGCACTACGAATGCCATTTTCTGGCCAATACATACATGTATACATATACATACATACATATGTATGTACGAGTGTGTATACATTTTAGGACATTTCGTTCGAAATTGGAAATATCAAAGTGCTGAAATTCAATTGAAAACGAACCTTGTCCACATGGAAAATTGTCTCTGCGTGTAAATTCTTTATCAATCGCGGTCCATCGGGGGGACCTTGGGGCATTACATGCACAGGTCTAAAAGCCCATTTCCTTACAGAGTTCCCAAAAAAATGTTAACATCGGAGGATCTGGTCGAGATGGCAAGGGAGATTGAGGCGGGTCGGCTGGATCCTGAAACGTGGCCATTCAATTGCCGCATGCCCCGACCGACCTCGCCTTTTCCCACATTTAGATACGACAGGCCGCCCACGCCACCACCACCCACAACGCCAGCACCCCGCAAGAAGTCCAGACTGGTGCCGACCCCCGAGGAAGACGCAGAGGCTGTGGAGGTCCTTCTTCGCGAAGAGGCAAAGAGAGAAGAGAAGATTGAAGAAGAGAAGCGAAGACTGGCCGCTGTTGCTTCAGAGCCATTGAGCGTCGAGGATCAACGTCGAATTGAAGAGCATTTTCGGAGGTTTGCTCCCATCATGGGTGCCAAGGTGGATAGGGCTGTAATAAAGAGGTTACGACGTGATTAAGACGAGCTGGAGGAGTTGATAAACATCGGCAAGCTTGCCCACAAGCAACAGCACCCACAGAATTGTCCTCTCAAAAACTGCTGTGCATACACATCTCGCTAAAAATGTAATTCGAATGGGGGAAATAAAAGGGGGAAATGTAAACAATATATCAGATTTTGAGAGCCCTAAGAATGTGTGGGGCGAGTGAGCCACGGCCCGTTGCGCAAATCAATTTTTGACGGACGTGCGAAATTTAAGGTGAAGAATATTTGATTATCCACAACGAACTCCACCAGTGTCCCGAGTGCCCGTGGAAACCATTGGCCATGGGAACTTTTTTTTACCGTTATCAATTTCAAGACAGTCATTCAAAAGCACAAAAGACGTTTTTTATGTGTGTCCATTCATTTGTACGCATAATTTTTGTGACCGAAATTCTGACTATTTTGTACATTTTGTTTTATTTTAAGTAAAGTTGATAAGTTAGATGTAAGGGAAACACTACTCAAATGAACTAGGCTGTGAACCAAAATGACCTTTGGGATTAAAAATAATAGTAGTAATAAGGTGTAAAAAAACAAACTGGATTATGGTTTTTTTCACACAACACGGCTACCGCCGGGCAAACCACCCCCCTGTACGAAACGCCTGGAAGATATTAACTCAAAAAATATTCCCAGAAAAAACAATGGAAACCAAAAAATGAAAGAACTCCGGGCAGCTGAAGGACGAGTGCACCTTCAGCACAGACAGTATGGAAAAGCACAAAATTTCTTTGGACGTGGCCATGTGAGCAATACCAACCCCCCAATAAGCGTGAAAACCTTCGCCCCAGTTTAAAGAAAAAAAACCAAAAATGAAAAAAAGAAGCATATTAGCGAACAAAAGGTAGGGGGGCACGCAACAACGAATAAAAACAAGTAAGGAAAATAGAAGCACTCCTCTGAAAAAAAACAAAAAAAAACCAGATTTTAAAAATTCTTTAAAAAAAAACTTATAAAAAAAAAAAATTCGTAAAAATTTAACTCCTAAAGGGTCCCCTAATTCTTGTTGACTGGTTATAAAAAATTAAAAATTCTATCTTCCCTTTGGCGCGTGTTTTTTTAACGGCAAAGTTGAACAAAATGTTTGTGCGCATAGTTATTGTGGTAAGTGTATATCCAAATTACTATTCCCTTCGAGTGAATGGAAAAGTATTCATTCCGCTCTGAAATTCGTTCGTTTTTGCTTCGGGGTTGGAAATTTATTCACACAGAAACGTGTAATTGCCCAGACACAAAACACAGTAGAGGGGGCAGCAGAGGCATACCCAAACACCAGCAGCATAGCATAAGCCACTCACACACTCACTTGCACACACACACACACACTCACACTCACACTCACACACAATCACTCACACGAAGGCGAAATTGGCAGCACAAAAAGTTCTCTTGGCAATGTTCTCGAGAAGGAGGAGGGAGGAGAACCCACACCTACCGACGTGGCAACGTGGCTCAGGCTGGGTTCTGCCGGAAGTTCCTAGAGGGGGGGGAGTTCAGTGGGTGGCCGGGTGTGCGAGTGGGCGTGGCAGCCACTGCTAGTGGCATGGAAAATTAACAATTTTTCAATTAAAATCAATACCGAGTGTAGTCGGTAGTGCTTTTGCGTTCCCTCTTTCGGTTCGGTTCGGTTCGGTTTTGGTTTTGGTTTTGCTTTTGGTTTGAGCCCAAAAAGCAAGCAAGCAAGCAAACGGGTGCGAAAACTCTGAGTGTGTATGTGTGTGTGTATGGGTTGAGGTTTTGGGAGGTGTCAAGGGTAATCTGCATGGTGTGTGTGTGTGTGCGTGTGTGTTGTGCACATTTCATGAAAATAGCTTAAGTGCCTGAAAATATGCAACGCATTCGATGCTGGTACAACGAGGACGACAAGCGAACTTTGGCTTACTCTTAGTGAGTGTGTGTGCGTGTGCGTGTGTGTTTGTGTGTGTGTGTGGGGGGTATCTCTGTGTATGCGTGTCATTGTGTTTGTATGTGTTGTTCTGTTGTTAGTTTTTGGGCGCCATCGTTGCCAGCCAAAAGCAAAATTTCCACAGGCCTTTTTTTACTCAAACTTAACTCTAACACACACACACTCTGACAAATAGTGCCGTTAGTTTCAATGACACTTGCAGGCCACGCACATGTACATTTGCATATGCATACATATGTATGTGTGGCTGTGTGTCGGTGCTTGCCGTCAGTCCTCTGCTTCTTTCTGCTTCTTCCTGTTCGTTCTTGTTTTGCATCGTTTTGTGGTTGTTTGGGTCTTTTTCGAGTATTTTGTGGTTGTCTAACTGTTGAGCCCTGCTGTCCTGTCCCACTGTGCAGCTGTCAGTGTGTCTGTGTGTGTGTAGACAAAGAGAGAGAGTGAGAGAGGGACCGACTCCATTTGTGGGCACCGCAAACAACGTTAAATGCAAATTTACGCCCTTCTATCTTTGCTCCCCCACCCCCTTTTAGCTAGTATCTCTGGTCTGGTCTACAACTAACCCATGCCACATGCCACATGCCCCATGCCCAAACTCCCCGCCGCACCACCCACCCACTCTATGACCCTCATCAGCTGTACACACAAAATGGCCGTACTTTGGCGCCATTGCTTCAGCCAGTTGTCCTTCTCCTGCTCCTTGTTGCTACTGCTACTGCTGCTACTGCTGCTGCTGCTACTCCTTGCTGCTCTTGATGACTATTGCCGTTATTGCCCCAGCCAACCAGACAGAGACAGAGACAGAGAGATGGCCACAACCAGTGGAAGTGGAAGTGCCAGCTCTTCCTCTCCCTCTCCCTCCTTCTCTCTCTCACACTCACTCCACACACACACACACACACACACACTCTGGCCAAAATTGAAGTGTTAGTAGTAATGCTACTAATTGGACTCGCTTTTAGCAACGCTTCATGTGCCCCCAAGCAAGCCAAAGGCAAAAAGCTCCTTCAAAGTGCCCACTCAGAATGCTCTACACAACACACACACACACACACACACACAGTATATATGTATGTATATATGTATGTATGTATGTGGTGGTGTACTACTCTCCAAAGTCTATAATTGGAAAATTTTACACACTCGAAATTCAATTTCCACTACGACTGCAACTGGAACTGCGACAGCTACAAAACCATTTGCCGAATGCCAGTTGTTGGCATCGTTGAAAGTGTGGCATGGCGTGGGTGCGAGTGCCTGGATGCCTGGCTGCCTGGCTGCCTGGCTGCCTGGGTGGTGCGGTGTGCTTAGCTGGGGCTTAGTGGGTTAATTGCATACACATGCACATATCCACATGCATACATACTCGTACACAGATGTACAGTTGTGTGCGCTTACGAGATGTTTTAATTAGCGGAGAAGACAGACAGATGCTGAAAGGAAATCCGATTACTATGAGAGCCCAAAGCCAAGCAAATGGATTCCTTGTGCATATTACCTACATATCTTGACTTGTGAATGGGTGGGAAGGGGGATTTCATTTAATCGTAACATTTGTGTATTAATTAGTAATTTAATCGATCAATTTATCCGGCTATCTGGTTCTTCGGCAAAGGAAATCTACAAAGTTCCAGGAAATCCAATTTTCAACTCTACTTTCGATAGAGCTCCGATACCTAATCGATCGATTGTTCAAGTATTTCCATATATCGATTGTTTCTTCAACGAAAGAACGGGTCATAGGTCACTTGGGTCGTTTCAAATCAGTTTCAGATGGATAACCAGCCGCAGACACTGCACTGTCGGTGCACACACACGTATATATACTATAGTATAACCAAATATATGAATATTGGTTGGTTTGTGTGAGTATAAGTGCCTGGGCACTTGAGCCAGAGCCTGCCATTAGCATAGAGACCCATCCCATTCCATAACATACCCCTCTCCCACCTCTCCAGCAAGTCTAGTCCAGAGCTCTTGCCGATGCCTATCCGATGGCGAACCCGTTCGACGTTCGACCCAGACTCCGTGGCTCTGTGGCTCTGAGTGGGGCACTCGAGGCGCGGGTAAAAGGGCAATTCGCGCAGGGCAGAACAGGGCAGAACAGGGCAGGGCAATGAAATTGCGCCATAATTACGCGAGTTTTGTCGCTTTTTTCTTCAATATTTTTTTTTTTTCTTTATTTTTTTTTTGCGGCTGCTAATCAAACATGGACAGGGGTAGAGCAGTTTTCGGTGTGCCTTTTTAAGGGTGGCAATTTGCCAACGTTGAAGTTCACTCGATAAAACGCACACACACACACACACACACACACACAGATACCAGATGCTCCATCTCGCTCTGGGGACCATCATCGCGCTCCCTCACTCCCGTTTCGGGTATCGGGACTTAGAACAATAACGGCCATTAAAATGCTTAATTATAAATTCGCAAACGTAGCTGAAAATATTCTTCCTTTTTTCCATAGCTGCTCTGTCTCTCTCTTTATCTCTCTCTCTCTCACGCTCTCGTTTTCCGTCGTTGTCGCCTGGCTGGGCTGCCCAGCGGGAGAGAGGCCGGGCAGAGCTGACATTGACGAAGCGGACTGCGTTAAATGATTTCCGGATTTTGCGTTGTTCGCAATGCTGTGGACATGTTCCTTAAAGCATGCCAACTATGCGAGTGCTCCGCAGAGCAAAGGAAGTAGAAGAGGAATGAATATGGGAAGAGTAGGAGAGAAAAGGGGAGCGAGCGCTCTTCGAGGAGGCTGCACTTGAGACACTCCTGCTCCAGTGCCGCTGATTGCTTATTAAAAATGGTTAGCCATGCCATGCCATGATGACGCTGCACACACACACACACACACAAAAGCCAGTCGGAGGTGTGAAAAATCAGAGCAGAGAAATCCAAACAAGATGATGATGAGACCATGAGACCATGAGACGATGACAAAAGAGCTTCAGCTCTAAAGCGTTGCGACGGAAAGGCAGAGGAAATGCAAATTCCTTGGCCGCGTTTTTGTTTTGCCAACAGCCAACACCATCATCATCGTCTCGACATCTCTACATTATCTCAACGGATGTAATTAGTTCGTTAATTCATTAGGGAGCCCATTAATAGCAGTTCTGGTGCGAAGACAATGCCCACAGAGTACACGGGAACAATGTCCGCGTATCGGGTTACCTGTCTGACTCACCTGTATGCGATCCTCGGGCAGCTCCGTCTTCAGCGAGAGCATCTCGCGGGCATACACGTCCGGGTAGTGGGCCTCCTTGAAGGCCTCCTCCAGCTTCTCCAGCTGGTAGCTGGTGAAGATCGTGCGGCTGTGCCTGCGCTTCTTCTTTTTCTTCTTGCTATTCGGCCCGACACCAAAGCCGTTGAGACCCTCCATTCCAAAGTCCTTGGGTGCCAGAGAGCCTGAAATTAAATACAGATTCGGTCATCTCATGAGTTCTACATACAGCCGTACAGATGTTCAGTCATTCGGCCTGATGTAACTTCTTCTGAACGAGTTCCACGCACTTCCATTTGCAGTTGAATAAACTCATGCCGCTAGACGCAGCATTTCCGCACCATGCCCCAGCTATCTCAGGCGTCTACCCAATCCAATGTTCTTGTCAAATTAGTTGACGAGGCTCCCATGACCCACAGACTGAACCACGGAGGCCGGAACGGCCCCTCGGCCACATGTGGCAGTCGGCGCTGAAGCGCGGCTCTAAGTGGTTTTTTTTTTCTCTCTCTGTTGTTTTAAATATTTAATAATTGTATCTAGTTTCCCACTTGTCGGGAACTGTTTTCTTTTGCTTTATTTTGTTGCTGTTGTTGCTGTTGTTGCTGCTGTTGGGGATTGTGACACATCATCTTTGGTTCCAAGGAAAACCCCACTTGACATCCAAATGTAAAAGTGAAAGCGGCCAAAGGAAGATGCGATTGGGAGATGACAGGCGCGGTAGCTGCGCTGACAGGGGTTTTCTGTTTGACTGTCAGAGGACTACGAGTATACACATGTACGTATGTACATATGTGTGTATGAAGATGAGAATGGTATTGCGATCCTTTCGAATGGGGCCCCAACGAGCCGGCCACTTGTGCCCCCAGAGCAGCGCCAAATTGCAAATCGCCACTTAGCGGCGATCGAGGTTTGAAGATGCCCCAGGCTGTTGAATGTTGCATGCTGCCAAGATGCGTATGCCTTTTGGCCAAATCAAATGCTGAAGCATCCCGGAAACACACAAATCACACGGTGCAAAACGGTGTAAACGGTGCAGATGGAGTGCCATGTCTGGCTCTGGCTTTGGCTTTGGCTCTGGCTTTGGCTTTGGCTTTGGTCCGGGCCCACTCTTCAGGAGTCAGGCAGGAGGCAGAAGACAGGTTTATTTTTTCTTTTTAATTTTTTGGAAAGTATAGAAAACAAAACACACAAACATAGTGAGAGAGAGAGAGAGAGAGAGAGAGAGAGAGAGAGAGCGGGGAATAGAGAGAGAGAGATAGAGAGGGGACAGAGGTAGGGCGGGCAGACCTCGACCAAATCCAATTCGCATTGAAATTCGATATGAAAAATGAAGTAGAGGCATGTTGTTGCCGTCGAGTTGTTCAAGTGAAGCGCTGACGGGTAGTCCTCAGTGCTCAGTCCTCAGTTTTCAGTCCTCATCCACCGAATCATCTCCATCCTCAAAACAGATCGTTGTTTTTGTGGTTGTCGATGTGGATGCGGCTGGTGGATGGGGAAAGCACTGGGCATGGGCATGGGTATGGGTATGGGGATTATGGTTGAATGTTGTATAGGCATATCGATGCCGACTTGATTTCCACTAAATACTCGTATGCGCCAAAAATATCTCCAGCACTGAAGTGCATAGCGAAATTTTTAGTGAAGGCTAACAATCGCATCTTAAATTACGGCCCAACTGCATTACACCACAAAAATACACACACACACACACACACACACACACAAATCCCCATGTAATTATTTTCATTTTCGGTGGAAAAACGTCAAAAATGGAGTGATGGTGGAGTAATTCCCTCAATTAACGCAGACAGAGAGAGAGAGAGAGAGAAGAGGGAGAGTGTACTCTATGTATGCAATACATATGTATGTATGTACATACAGTGCATATGCAAGTGTGCATTTCATCAGTATAACTTGGGTGCATTTTATTGGTATTTAAATTATGTGAAGCTGCTTTGGATCAGGTTTATATTTGATGTATGTATCTGCAGCGTAGCATTCCTTTGGCTCGTATCTTTCTGTCAAATCGTTAGTTGGATTTGTTATTTTGTTCAGCTTCTGCCAATCAGATCCAATCCATTACCATTACCATTCTATGCTGATTGACAAACATCCGGAAGAGAAGAGCTGCTCAAATCTAATTAACAACAATTATGATTACCATAAACAAATGCAGAAATTAGTTCATTTCGGGCTCACAAAAGTAGGCAACGGCAAATTTGTGGCTCTGCCATCGCACTTTTAATGAGCTCACATAGACACACACACGCACACACACACACACAGACAAAATGGAAGTAGAGCTTTATTTGAAAGTTTCGCCCCGGAAAGGAATGGAATGGGCGGGGGGTAGGAGGGGACATCGCAGCATGCCAACATGCCTGCCAACACCCACACATACAGCGACACACACACACACACACACACATGCATCACAACATATTAGCAATTAAAATTTTCTTAGTTAATTACTTTAAGCAGACGACGACGCAGTCGACGCCGACAAGGACGACGGAGGACGACGGTGGACGACGGAGGACGACGACAACTGCGTCAGCACGAAAAATTAAAAAAGCAAACAAGAAAGAAAATGTGCAGCCCGTTGGGTGACGAAGCTTTGGATACTCTAGCAGGCTGATCATTCGGCAAATAAGTTACTTTCTACCATCTAATTAAATACGATTAAAAATACCCATCTAATGTCACACATTCGACTAATGGCAGATCCATGCTGTGGAAGGTTTTGCTCATCGTTTTGATGCCATGATTTATGATTTATGTGTAATGATAATGAAAATGTGGAGTGACTCTGTGACATGTAGCAATGATCATTGGGCAGGGAATACCCTTGATCCCATATTTCTTGAAGCAAAAACAAGGATCTGGGATACATATGTATATGCCAAGCCATAGAGTCTTAAGACATTTTGGAATACTCTGTATGGAAAGGAAATGAAGAATTTATAGCACCCTCTGCCAAAGGGCATACAAAATTGTGGCAGCAAAATGAAAGGCGACAACGGAGCGGCTCCTCACTCTCTTTCTATCCTTTTCTTGCCGCTTGCCGCTTGCCCTGCCCCTTTGCCTGACAGACTGTATAAAAGAAAAGCTTTTCCCCCACACCGCCCAACCGCCCACCGCCTTCCGAGTGAATTTTATGAAATTTATGCGCATTTCACTAGAAAATTTAATTAGGAAATCTAATTTGCTCAAAAGCGCATAAAAAATGTTGTCGCTCTGGGTTCCGTTGCCCCACGTTTCTCTCTGTCACTCTCTCGCTCTCTCCCTCGCTCTCTTGCTCTCAACCCGCTGCCACCTCCTTGACTTGTTCATTTTGTAAGCTGCGCGCCATTTTTGTTAGCTAGCCGCGGTCTCCACATGGCTCCTCATCCTCATCCTCATCTCCATCTCCATATCCATCGTCATCCTCTAGTTGCCCCCATTCCTAAGCTAAGCTCCCCTCTCCCTTTCGCTCACCCCTTGCCCATGCTCCCCTCGCTATGCATCAAGTAACCAACAAAATGACTAATTCCTCGCCCATGTGCTGTGCTAGTGTGTCTGCATCAGTGTGCATGAGATGGCAGTGCAGCACTGTGGCCGTGTGGGATGTGTGTGTGTGTGTGTACCGCATAAACAGTTGCATGGCAAAATACGCTAATAAAGTGGCTGAGTTGTTGGCAACGCGACGACGCATCGTCTCGGCAGCGTCGCAGTCGCAGTCAGCGTCTGCGTCAGCATTGACGTTGGCGCTTGCGTTGCGGCAACGTCATCGTCGTCGTCATCGTCGGTGGCATCGTTGAGGGGCATTTGCAATTTGCATTAGCAACCAAAGTGGCTGCGTTTTTGTACATGTGTGTGTGGGTGTGTGGCATGCCCCTGCCCATCTGCCATCTGCCATCTATTTTTGCTTATTTTTGTGTGTGCTTTTTTCGTACTAATTAGAAATTAAATTGAATTATTTGCTTGAGGAATCAAACAGAAACCAGAAAACGCAGAAAATCACTCGTACAGCGAGAGAGAGAGATAGAGAGAGTGAATGTGGAGCAACGGAATGGGGCATAGCATGGTGGGGGGGCAGTACGCGATATGCCCCCCCCCGCAAGGGTTGGTTTGGCTTGGGGTATAGCAAGGGGAGAGCGAATAGAAAACCCAAGGCATTATTACGGTATTTTATTCATCGAATCTTCCCCAAGGCCATAAGGTAGAAAATAGTACACAAAAACTTGGAGGTTTCTTCAAACTATTCCAAGAGTTGGGACCCAACAATTATATCTGATTCTGCGGCAAAAGTCTTTAACGAATTATTAGCTCTTCCTCCTAGTTTTAATTCACTTTCAGCTTTCTGTTAGTGCTTCGAATAGTGCAGGCAATGATTATTTATGCATATATTGCTTATATTTGTGTCATTCTTTTATTGCACAGCCTGTTTGCGGATCCTGTTTGGAATACTCGTAAGCCATTCGTGGCCATCCCCATAAATTAAAGTATTCCATATTCCCACTGTTTTAATATTCCATGGCAGTTTTATTCCTCGCTTAACAATTCATTTCTGTGGTTCCACTTTCCCTGATGCTTCATTTGGTCGGTCGGTCGGGTGGTCGGGTCCTCTGTGGATGGATGTCCTTCAAGCGACTTCGTCTGGAATTTATTCACGAAATTCGCTTTGACAACGGGTCTCCGACATTGTCCAGCGTTTGTTCCTGTCTAATTGCTCTTGTCTGTCTCGCTCTCTAGCTTTCGCTTTCTCTGTCTCTGTGTCTGTGTCTGTATCCCGCTCTTTGGCAGGACAGCCTTCTGTACCCTTGGCCCCACGTTCCCTCCGTTCGCTCGTTCCGCTCCTGTTGGTCGTAATTTGCGCACTCAATGGAAAATTGTTAATTAGATTCCTTGCTTGTCGTGTGACTTCGTCTTCTGCCACTGCCACTGGCAACTGCTCGCCTCTCCATCGTGTCCATTGTTATGCTGGCAAACTACCTCGACCCCCCCCCTCCCAGCACCCAGCACCATGCTCCACCACCACCGCCAGGTGGCATAATGCCCCTCTGGGCTGCAGCATTTTAGTCAGCTTTGTGTCAAAGTTGGTTAACGTGATTGCTGTTGCCATATTGCCCGGCCCCTGCTCCGGCCCCGATCCCGATCCCCACCGCACAACCCCTTCTCTCCACACTCCCCCAGCCCACCTCTTTTTTTTTTTAAGCCAACTTCGCAGCCCTCGCCCCCACTGCAGGCCACCTTTCCGCTTCACCGACCCAAGCGAACTCAACGAACTTTAAGTGCAAAGCGCTTTGCGCCAACAGCAAACAAAACGAAAGCTGCAGCAACAACCACATTTAAGATAACAACAACAACTACTACGATGACAACAACAACAACAACAACAAGAGGGTCGCAATTTTTGCACTAAACTTTTTGCTCTTTCACTTTTTCTGGGCCTTCGGTGAAATTTGGACGTGGTAACGAAGTGCAGGAAATACCGCGGATGCATGGCCTCAGAGAAAGAGATGAACACAAAGGCAAAGAGGGAGAGAGAGAGAGACAAACAGAGGGCAGAGAGAGAGAGAGAGAGCACAGGAGAAAGGAAGAGAGCCATGCTAAGCTAGCGGCAGGAGGTGATTGATCCCTGAATGCTCTCCTGCAACACGATCAACTCCCTTCAGCGGACAGACATCGTGGAACTGTTCACCAGGCTCTGTCGTTTGTCCTTCGAAGGGCATTCCTGCATTGAGTCCATTCAAACTGGCGGCAACAGGCAGATTCTCAAACATAAGCCCACCGATTGCATTGGGTATCCGGCTGGTAGCACATTAAAGTAAATATAGTTTCTCCAGACAATTCTTTATAATGCAATTTGCTATTTCTGCCACATTCTCCATTCGATTCCGTTGCATTCGTTCATCATTCACCCATTAGTATTGGGTATTCCTTCAGTTTTCTGGCTGCGAACAGTGACATCTCCATCAACGGATCATATTTCTGCTGCTGATTCTTTCCCCGAATTCATTCGCCTTTTTGGCGGACAGGTTGTCCATCCATATGCACATCTACATCCACCCATCCACCCATCCGCCCATCCATTGCCATCCTCTGGCCACCCCTCCACCACTGGCGTTGACATATTCACATGCAGTCAACGGGTGCGATGTGAATCGCGATTGGTTTCGCTTCACACATGTCATCTTCATGCGAGTGAGTGGATGATTCGAATGCCGTTATACCCTTGCCGAGGGAGGGTATTGTGACTATCACAAGATGCTTGCAACGCTCTTACGTATTTTTCACATGCCAAACTTTGCCCCCGAGCGAGCAATCGCAAAAGGGTATCACAAACTTCATCCTCAGAGCTGGCTCTCATTGGGTGTTGGTGTGTTTTTTTGTTGTTTTTTGTGTTTCGTGTCTTACGTGTTTCAATTAGGATCAGGATGGGGGGAGCGGGAAAGCTGCCATCGCATTCGCCATGGCCAGCAAATAAAACTTAGACACGCTCTGGAAGGATTCGTGGCACAATGGAAAAAAAGGGGAAAAAATGCCAATTAAAATCTTAGCCATGACAAGTGCATCACGATGGGTCGACACAAGTGCAGCAGGCAGCAGGCAGCAACGGCAGCAGCATCAGACCCCGGGAGAATGTCATGTGGGTGGCTCTCTGCTCCACTTTAGCCCCCGACTCTGGGACTCTCCCACTGGCCCGAGAACCCACTCGGAGCCACCATTCAAGGCAAATTGCCCTACTTGTCAGTCTCGGCTCATTCTGTTCGCCGTCTTCTTGGCCTTTGTGTAATCTTGTCTTGCAATCTGCTCGCAGCAAATGGCTCAAAAGTGGCTCTCCCAACGTGCCTGCTACCAGCCAGCGAGTCAGCCAGCCAGTCAGCCAGCCCCTTCATCATCATCTTCATCTCCATCTTCGTCTTCATCTAATGTTGTTGCTGGTGAGCTCTGGCTCTGGCTCTGGCTCAGGCTCTCGCTCTGCCGTTGAGTTGCCTCAAGTTCCCGACTCTGGAAGAATGCAGGCGTCGAGTGGCTCTGCTACTAAAGGAAGACTTAAGCAGGGCACTTCGCCCCATAAAAACAGAATAAAAAGAATGCGCGGCCAAGTGGCCAAGTTCGTGTTCCCCCGGCTGCACTGGCTGGCCCCCAGTCAGAGATTAGAGCCTTAGAAGGGCCTACCCACTACAACACACAATAACAACAACAGACACAACGGCAACAACGGCAACAACAGCAACAAAATGGCAATTAAGTAGGCAAGACAATGCCACCACGGCAACAAGACGAACGTAGCGCGAAATCCTGATGGGATGTCGAAAGTGGTTCAGGACAGAAGGTTCATAATCTTCTACAAGTTTTGCAACTGAAAGAAAATGCTTTGGGAATAGATTTAAACGGCTAAAAGTGACTGCAAGTTCGTGAATAATACACTTAAAAACATAAACCTATTAACCTACATATATTGCTATATAAGTGGTCGGCACGCACATATTCACATGTCTTTCGGTGCGTTTGTGTGCGTTTACAGCAGGCAAAACGGAACATTGTATGGTGCCAAACACTGTGGTACACGTGTACGTGAGCACAATAGATAGAGGCCGTGCCGAGCTCTGTTCTATATACAAATTAATTAAATAAATAAATAATACACCTGTAAGAATATATCATCAATTGAAAAATATTCCCTTCAGATACTTTAATTTCTGGCTAACATTTCTTCATTTCTTCATTGATTCATTTTTTATGTTTAATTATTCTCAAGCAAGTTGCAAGTATTTCGAAACCTTTCGGGATTCTTCCTCAGCAATAGCAGACTGTCCGCTCAGAAATATGTGAACCTCATTTCTTTTTCAGAATTGTATTCAATGACATGTAGACCATATTACACGACAAGAAAATTCATACGATTGCAGTGAAACTCTGTGGGTATTTTTCTGGTTTCCCAGTTGATTTTATGGCGTCAGAATAAAATAGTTTCTCGCCCCAAATTTTGGGTGTTCAATCAACAGACGTTCTTCCCACTTGGTCGACAGACATTTCAATTTATTGGCGCACTCATTGGTGCCCCTTTGCCACAATGCTCCGTACTCCTCTAGCCCGTTCACCACTACACACCTTTTCAAAAGCCACTTCGCACTCCACAATCCACAATCCATCCATCCATCCATCCCCCTATGCCACGATTTGCCAGAGCGTTTCTTATTAGACAAGTTTATGTGAGCGCTTCGCATTTCTTTCGCTTTGTTTTTGGCTTGTACTCGTGCTCGTATCTGTGTGTGGGTTCGTGTGTGTGTCGAAAGGGTTAAAGCAAACGGAGGACAGGACATGTGGTGTCCTACGGACACCAGCACCAGCAGCAGCAGCAGCAGCAGCATGTATGGGGAGATGTATGCGCGTGCAAATTGCGTATAAAAGCGTATGTTGAAAATATTTATTGCCCGTTGCGAATGCAACAAAATGAAAATGAAAATTTCATTATTTGACTTTTGTCTTTCTCTCTCTCTCTCTCTCTCTCTCTCTGTCTCTCTTTCTCGCTCTTTCTTCACATGTGTGTGGATTTTTTTTTGCTCTGTGTGTGTTTTTTTTTTGTTAGCTAAATTGTTTATTTTATTAGCAATTTGGTAAATTTATGGGCCTGCCATGCGAAACCCTTTCCCCCTGCCTGGCCACGCCCCCGCCACTGGGGCAACCGATTCGAAATGAAGCGCAGGAATGCCCATTAATTAGGGTAGAGACAGAGAACGAGACAGAAAAAAAAGAGTCAGATATAGATACATATATGTACATATGTATACAGATGCGGATGCAGAGAGAAAGAGTGGTGCTGCCCTCTGTTGGCCAGGGGATACGGAGAATTCGGTCCTTGGACTCGGTCAGCGAATAAGCTTTTTGCCCCTCTGCCAGGACGACTGCATTATGGTCTGCGCATTGCCTACCTTTAGGCGTCCCACTTAATTTCTGCTCAGAGTCCTGCCTACAGTCCCTATCCCTACCACACAGTGCCTACCTCTGACTCTTGTCTGCATTTCAGGGAGAGAGCTTACCTGGCAAACATGTTCCGGCGCCTGCCGCAAAGTTCTTCAGCTGCGGAAATCCTAAAGGAGAGAACGAAACATTGAGTATCCATTGAGTAAATAATTTCTAATTAAAATTGATGACTTTTAAAGCTCGAAAATTTTATTATTATTATTAAAATATCAACATCACATTTCTTTATTTGCATTACAAATCCAAAATTACGTTTGCATTCATCATGAATGGTTGCATTCATGGATGGAGTTTCTTTCAAGGGAGCTTCCACTAAAGGTGTCTCACATTGCCATGATTTATGCCCCAATTGCTTGATCTGGGTGCACTGTGCACACCACAAGGGCTGGTGACTGGTGATTGGGATTTCCTCAACATTTATTAGCCATACAAAGGCTGACACACACACGCACACAGATCGAAAGCCCCCTCCCTGGAGCATGGAATATATGATTCGTTTATATATCCGATATACATCTGGGCAGACATTCAGAAATGCAAATCGATGTCGGGACAAGCTCCTCTTGCACCACTAACATCTCTGCCTCTGCCTCTGCCTGTGCCCCTCCTTTGCCTGGCCAACCCTACCCTGCTCGCCGTATGCCACCCTGCTGCTGCCCCCTGCCCCCGCCCCTGCCATCATCAGGGGAGTGACATATCAAAGCAAAATCAAATTTGACAGACAACCGCGCTAATTTCTGGTCGATGTTTCATTGTTTCAAGGCGTTCGCTCCGTCTCGTTTCAGTTCTGTTCTGTTCTGTTCGGTTTCGGTTCGGTTTCGGTTCAGTTCTGTGCCGTGTCGTGGCCTGTGTCGAGGTCTGTGTCTGGGTCTGGGCTTTGTGTGTGCCACTGCCCCTGAGCCGCGAAAGGGGTTGTCCCTGCCCTGGCATTTCCCTCAATTGTTTAACGCTGACGCATTTCGAGAAACGATGCCAAGTACAATGGGACCAGCTCCAGCTCCAGCAACAGCAGCAGCACCAGAAGCAAAAGCAAAAGCAGGGCAACCGCTTTAGCTCTAGTCGCTGGAGTCGGACATATGTATTGGTTGTGCTCATAATGATGATGAACGTCTACAATCAAACTACATTTATTAGCTTATGGTTCTGCGATCGGGTCGGCACAATCGCAGCAGCTCTACCAGGAATTCCAATTACGATTTCATTGCTTTTGGTTTTTGCGTTTGCGTTTGCGTTCCGTTCGTGAAATCCGATATTGCGCAAAAATTCCACTAAAGAATTGCAAAGAACAAAAACCAAAACCCATATGTAGGTAGGGAGGGTAAGGGCGCGGGCGAGGGAGCTCAGGGAGGGAGTACAGTCGCAAAAGGGGAAAAAATGCAAGTGACGAAGTATTTATAAACTGATTAACGCCAAACAATAGCTGATATGGGTCGAACGGCCTGCGGTTCGAAGGGGTATGGGGATGGGATTGCTGCTGCTGCTGCTGCTGTTGGGGATCGCTGAGGGAGAGCGAGAGAGCGAGAGAGCATATAAATTGAATCTAGAGCAAATTTCTAACCATCGACTGGAGAGTGGAGAGTGCAAAGTGGGGACGGGACCATGAACCATAGACGTGCCCCAGACCACACAGAGCGAATGGGTCGTGAGCTCACGCCGTATCCGGACAACCGCTCCGGACAGCTCCCAATTGCCGCCGGCCGGCCAGTCCAGTCCCATGCAAAGTAGCCGCTTCAGTGTCTCAAAGCGCTGCTCGGCAGCGGCTGAAGAGGCAGCGGGAAAAGCCTCCAACAAGTTGTTCGAATCGTATTCAAATGCGGACTCGAGAGTCTCAATGCAGCACAGCGCCGAGTGAGTGAAGTGTCTCTTTCAGCACAGCACAAATGTGATCAATGAAGCAACCTGTTTGTGAGAAAATACCATCGACATATCATGCCTATGAGTACATAGGGGTCTTTATGTGATTGTGTTCTGCGGGATGGAAGCGGCGACGGCGACGGCGTCTTCATTTGACTTAATCTTTTTAATTCAGTAATTTTTAAAGAATTATTACTATATACAAAATGTAAATGTAACTACACATTATTCAGTCTTCAAATGGTATTTAAAAACAAAACAAAAAGAAGAAGAAATATTGGTTTTTCCATGGATTTTGTGGCTGGGTATTGGAGGATCTTGCACGTCACCACTTTCAGGACTGTTTTTGAGACACTTCCAGTATTCAAAACTGACCAGGTGATCCCTTTTGGGAAAGCTTAAAATGTAAGCATTGGAACCTTGAAGAAATCCAATTCCATCTTCTGGTTTTACGTGGCCTAACCCAAATAAAAATAGTAGTGATGGGTGTAAAATATTTATTAATTGATTTATTTTACGCTCCAAAATCAAAATTACCGCTTTGTCCAAAACTTTCTTTCAGCAAAATATTCAGTAGCTGAAACAAACTTACTGATGCTGACTTTTTAGCATTAATTTGTTCTGTGTTTTAATTGCTGTGAGCATTAAGCAATGAGATCTTCCATTAAAAGTTAAATAAAATAATTGTAGAGATTACTTAAGCATAGAAAATTCTCCCTCTGCAAGCCTAGCTACAGCATAGTACATAAATATATGTACATACAAATGTATTCCATTAGCCTATAATTAAATTTTCAGTGTGAATGCACTCATTTGATCAGGTGGACCAGGCGCCTGATTCGTTGCTCTGCCCATAAATAAAATAGCTTACAGCCAAAAAAAAAAAAGAAATAGAAAACTGCTGAGTAGCCACTCCAAATAGCCATATAGATGGCCAGTACTGCATAATTAGCAGTCGCGGCGTCGCTCTAGTCATTGCTCGCTCCCGACAGTGAAAGCAGCTGATGGCCGAAATGCTACGAGAATAGTCGAATTCCAACTCCAGCTCCAGCTCCAAGTGCCAATACGAAAGGCCATTTGGAGCCGACGCCGACGCCGACGCCGCCGCCGCTGAAGAAGCAGAAGGCGAAAGAGCCCCACAAAGCAGCCGAGCAAACTCAAGTGCCAAATCGTGTTTATTTGCGTTATAAAATTAGCGCAGCGGCGCTCAAGTGTAGCCCCTGCGACTGTATCTCTGCGCGTGAGTGTGTCACTGTTGTCCAGTGGCGTTGGAGGGGGCTAGGGGTCAGTCACGAGAGATATGAGAAGGAAACAGCAGAGCAGGATAGAACTGAATTGCAGGATACGCGTAGTCTTGGCGCTTGGAAGTTTCTTTTTTAGCATATAATGTAGCTTAAGAGTAGCATTCAGATATGCATTTGAATGTGAAGCAGCAGAGATCTCAATCCAAGGAAAATCCCTGCTGATTACCCCCCTTCAAAACCTCCTCCCAAACACCCACTCTACGCCTCTGGCCAAATGTTTGGAGTGCAGTTTGTGGAGCGCTGAGCTTTTCGGGGCACGAATTACCCGTCTCTGATTGCCATGTGACGCGGCACAAAATCCAGCTTATGAATACATGAATACGATTGTACGAGTGTACTACATATGCATAGATACATATGTATGTATGTAACCACGACTCTGCCTATTTATTTATCGCTGACTTCTATTATTATTATAATATGTGAGTGAATGAATTTTCTAATATTTTTGTTGTGATTGTGTTCCAGTCGAACAAATTAGAAATAATTGCGGCTAATTCCGTTGAATGTGTATCGCTGATTGTGAATCAACCGCTGGCTGGGATTGCACTCACTCGCACACACACATGCACATTCACATTCACACTCGCACTCGCAATCGCATTGATACTCATTGATACTCTCACACTGACTCACTCACACAGCAAATTAACCCCTTAAGTGGCACTCGGCACTTCGTTCGTCAAGTTGCTTTAATTGACTTTTAAATTTGCAAAAAATCAAAGCGAAAAAGTGTGACAAAGTGCCCAAAAAAAAAAGAATGCGTGCGAATGGTAATGGGAATGGCAATGGGAGGGATAGGGGCATCTCAGGACCGGGATACTGTGGAGATGGGGAGATGGCGGAGGTTAGAGTGCAACTGAAACAATAACTGCACTCGTGCCTCGTTGTCGGTGGCGGCATTGAACATTTTCACACCTCAGACAATGCCCACGAGTGCCTGCCCCGGAGTGGGAGTAGGCTAGCGGGTGGGGGGGCACACTCGACTCGCCGGGCGGTCGTCCGCCCCACTCAATGAAGGGCGTTTGTCGACAATTTCTCTCTTTTTTCCCATTCATTTCTCATGTTGATTTTCCGCTCCTGTCGTTGTTTTTGGGTGGTTTCATTTTATTTTATTTTTTTCTAATTTACGTCAACGTAAAATCAAAGCAAAGTCAAAAGACTATGTCTGCTCAGGGCCTGGTCTGCGAGAGTAGAAGGCGGCACATACATAGGCACATAGACCGCACACATTGTCCGAATACCAGACCGAGGCAAAACTACAATTAAGAATATTTTTATCATCACACAGAGATGGGTGGGATGGGATATGGCAGGCTAGGCCAGGCCAGGCGGATGGCAACTGGGGCTATTAGCAAAGTGGCTCAAATATCAAAGGGCAGTCGATGTCATTGTTGGAACCGCTTTGGGGCACCACTGACAAGCAGCAATTAGCAGCTCTGGAGCGGCGGATATGAGCTAACGATTCGAAAACCACAGTGGGGTGTGTGTGTACTTCCTGCACTATCGAATGTACAAGTATTGCAATAATTGATTATTAAGTGGCGATTATTAGATTGGATTATGAACATTTGAAAGTACGAGTATGTGCTTTAGAATTTGCATTAAATACAGAAATTATCAACGGTGCGGCCTACGTTTGCGTAGGCCATATCTATCAATAGATTTATTTAAATTTATCTCCATGGAACTGCTTTTACTAGAGATTGAGAATTTTCACGCGTGAGTATCAATTATTCAACGATTATTGTAGAGCAATGGTTTCACCATCTCTAGCAATCTGGCGGCGCCTTGGCAGCCCACACAATCCGCTAAATGGTTAATTTCGAGCCACAAGTAATTTGCTAAAATATGCATTTGAGTGGGGAAGGGAAGGGAATATCTTTGGCTATCAATTTGCAATAACAAATTTGCCAAAATACATATGTACACATTTGTGGGTGTGTACATATGTATATGGGTGAGTGAGTGCTTTGGTGTGTCTGCAAACACATCAAAACGACTGTCACAACAAAGCGAGGACGAGCAACAAGGAGAAGGAGAACCAAAGTGAAAATTGTCAATTAAATGCTGGGGAAAAAGCAGAGAAAATCGTTTTCTTTTTTTTTTTTGCTGTTTTTGTTTTCTTTGTTCGTTGTTGCTGTTGTAGTTGTTGTAGTTGTTGCAGTTGTTGTTGTGGGGCAACCAATTTTCCGATTTGGTTTTCTCCTTCCGTCTGTCGTCGCTGGTAAAAGATCAAAGGCACTTAATGGCCACGTCGTGAGGCGCCAATTGGTAGCTTCAAAAGCTTTTGCTTGGGGCACTCTCCTCCCCCCTCTCCTCCTGGCCACTCGCACAGCTTAGCCTTAGCAGTGGCTGGGGGCAGGAAATCCGCCCCCGAAAGCCATGCGAGAACTTGATGCGATTTTTTAATTGACGAACGGGGCAGGCACGCAAATGGGTAAAAAAAATCAACAGGGAACCAAATTTGTTTGCTATATAAAGAGCAGAACGAGTCAACAATATGCAAAATTAAATACGATGACGCGAATGAAAAGCAAAAAGCTACAGCAATAACAAAACTAGCCACAAAAACGGGGGCGACAGTGCAGATTGCCTCGATTTGGGGATACTCTCAACGAAAAGCGATAAATCAACTCACCGCAATAGGCATTCTAATAGATTTACTTATGTACATATATACTTATGTATAGGAAGAAGTAGAAGGTTGCATGGGTACAAGTGAGGTTCAGCTAGTTTTTGACGGTGTGTGCATTTTATTTCCAAACTTAAAATAAAGATCAAACCATAACAAATCATTATACAAATCTATCCATATATATATGTATAATTAAAGGCAAATATTTACAACTGAAGTTGAGGTTGTATGTCCTGTCTTAAGCTTGAAATTCTAAACTTCATCACACTCAGTTATTGCTATTATTATAAAGATTCACAAAAATGTATTCTCCATGATTCAAATTATATTTATTAATATAATTCACTGTTAAATAATGATATTCCCTCTGTGGCATGTGGCATGGTCTTCCAATAAGCCAATATGCTTCACGAATGCCGCAACAACGACAAAGTTCTTTCTCACATTTATTAACACAAAAATTGCGACGACGACGACGAAATGGTGGAAATGTGCGATAAACGAAATAAAAATACAAATACAATAATTAAAGTAAAGCAGAAACAGCAACAGCCACAAAGCGGCACAGTGTAAGGCGTCGCAGCGGAAAAGAAAGTCCCCCGCCATATGCGAAAAAAGTTCCCGGAAGTGGTGGCTGTGGCTTCAGAAAAAAATCAAATTCAAATTCAAATCGAAAACCCAATTCGATATCCGTCAAATATTTCGAATGGAAATTGGCACAGTGAATCAGAGCCAGAGCAGACCAGATGGAGATGGGATTGGAGATGGTGAGATGACGAGATGACGATGACGATGACATTTCAACGCTAATTATAATAAAAATAACAATAACAACAGCTGCCACTTGAATCTGCAAGATTATCTTCCCCTGTCTCTGTCTCTGCCACTGCCTCTTCGTCCATCACCGACTCTCCGGCTATATCTTTTTCCGTCCACTCTCTTTCTCTCTTTCTCTCTCTCTCTCTCTCTCTTTCTGGCTTTGTGTCTTTGGGTTTGCTGTCATCGACTCGGCTTTGGATGATATTGCCACTTGCTGCTGCCTCCGCGGTCGGCCCCGCCACTTGCAAATGAGCTTGAGACCCAGAGACAGCAGCAGGTCGACAGCAACGGAGCCAGCTCAAGCTCCGACTTTGGCCCTTACGTGTATGGGTGTCATTGCCTTGTGCTGATCGTCGAACAAAGACACCTCTACAGTGCTACCAGGGTAAGTTTTCTGCACTGAAATCTAAGTCTAGTTCAATGAGAGCATTAAGGAAATCCCTAGAAAGCCCAGCCATCCATTTGGAGATGCTTTAGATCCTATCTGCAGGTGATTCGTCATGGAATACTTACAAATTCGTTAGCTTTCCTGGTTTCTTGGAGTGATATCCACAATATGACAAATATATTCAACAATGTCATACAAAATATAATAAATTATAATATTTATAATTATAATTATAATAGATTTAAAAATCGATTCTCGACCCACTGTACCACTCCATTCCACGCTCTCACACACGCAAACACACACACACACACACACACATGTAGCTGGGGCAGAGCAATTGCCATTGCAATTAGCAGCTCAACTTGAGTGGCGGTGGTGGAGGTGGAGAGGGAGGTGCCTGGAGAGGATGAGGAGGAGTGAAGTGGTGCTGGTGCTGCTGTTGCTGTTGCTGCTGGCCAGCCGTTGGAGGCTGTCTGGTGGTGCTGGGCGGGGAGGGGGGAAGACGTATTGAGGCTAAAGCTGATTTGCTTCTCGATGGCCCGCTGATTAATTTCTTTTTTATGCTAACTAAGCGGCACTCAGCCGCCTCTCCACTCCGCAGCTCAACGCATCACATCTGCCCCACCGTACACAGACCAGATATATGTACACACACATCTGTATGTGTGCAAGTGTGTGTGTATTTACGTGTAGCTGTGTGTGCGTGTGCTTGTGCTGTGCTCGTTTTATATGGCAGGTGACACAGCCAGTTGCGATTGCTAATTGCGCTTAAGCTTTGATTGTTATTGTAACTGCCGCCTTTCGGGGCAGAGCTTGGGTGGTGCAGTAGCTGACAGAGGTGGGGGGGGTGGTTGGTTGGTGGGGGGTATCGGGATCAGTGGCTTACCCTGCGCATGTAGCAGCGGGTGGTGATGGTGGTGGTGGTGTGGATGGTGGTGCGGCATTGGAGGCGGCGGCACAGCAGCAGCAGTCGCATGGGGATTGGATGCGGATGCCCTCCGTGCGGGTGGTGCGGCTGATGCTGATGGTGGTGCTGATGCACGGCAGCGGCCAGCTGATGAGGCATAAAGGCGGCCGCCACCGCTGCATGGGCATTGAAGTAGGCCATACGGGAGGCGGCTGCCATGGTCATTTGGTGGTGCTCCCTGTAGTGGTGGTGCTGCTGCTGTTGCTGCTGCTGATCTATCACCGATGACATGCTGTCACCCACTGCTCCACTTCCGGTTCCGCTTGCTGTTCCCGCTGTTCCCGTGGTTGTTGTTGCCACTGCTGCAACGGTATTGTATGTTGCCGCTGTTGCTGCTGTTGTTGCCACTGCTGCTGCTGTTGCTGTTGCTCCTGTTGCTTCTCCTGCAGCTGTTGTGCTTGTTGTTGAAATACATTTTGGCGATGCCTGGCTGCTGGCGGCTGTTGTCAGATCCGTTGGCGTCTCGCAGGTTGCCACCGTTTCCGTTGTGGTTGTTGCCGCTGCCGCCACGGCCAGTCCGAGCAGCTCCTGTATGGCAAAGGGCGAACGCTGCGGCATCGCTGCTGCTTATGCTGCTAATGTTTCCCTCGATGAATCGATTGGCTCTGCCTCAATTGTTGTGCTGCTGTTTTAGTGGAACATTTTCGGGGGTTTCCCCTAACTCAGAACTCTGGCTCTTCTCTCTCTCTCTCTCTCTCTCCCTCTCTCTCTCTTTCTCCCTCTCTCTATCTCTGTCTCCGTGTGACACTCAGTGGCTGTTGGGCACCATAGGCCTAGTTTGCCGGCCCAAAGTCCCGCTAAACTGCACTTGAACCTACGATGCGGGGCCGAACACTAAAAAAATTGATTGCTGCGAGATTTGCAAGATTTTGCGAGATTTGTGGCACGCGTCGTTGTCGCTGTCGCTGTCGCAAAAACACACAACAAATTCGCAATAATTTCCACGTTAAACTGTTGCCTGACTTAATGTGCACCAGGAGTTTTGTCGTTGTCGTCGTCGTCGTCGTGAAAAGCTAACGTTGCCGTTGCCGTTCCTGGTTCCTGGTGGTTGGGCCCCGGCTAGAAGGCATTCAGCGGCACACAACGGTAAACGGCCACGGCAACGGAGCTGGCGAGGACCTGAAACCATCTTCGCTGCCAGGCTGCAGGCAGCAGAACATGCCGCACCAGTAGCAGTAGCAGCAGAAGCAGCAGCGTTGGCGGCAGCAGCAGCAATAGCAGCAGCAATCTGGCAGCGACGTCTCTTCGACGGCTGCGCTGCCACCCAACGGTAAATCCAACGGCAGCGTCAGGGGCGGGCTCAGTCGCGCGGCGATCATCTGGTTGCACCGCTCACACCGCAGCGCGTGCGAACGGCTCGACTAGCGTGCGCACTTCCCCTGCCCGACGGGTGGCCAACATGGCGCATGTGCGCGACGCGCTCTGCCTGGGTCAGAGGAGAGCAGCGATGGTGGGCCCCGACCAGCTAGCTGAGCCGCTCTAACACATGCGGTGACTTCCAGCGCACTGGAATGCTTCCAGTTTGTGTGCCATGCTTCGTGGTGTGGGTGCCCCGCAGTGAGAGTGTGTTGGTGCCGCAACTGCGAGTGTATGCGGAACCCATTTTGTGTGTGGGAAGGATCGAAGCTCGCAGTTCGCAGTTCGGAGCTCGGAACTCTTTTTCGATGAAGGACGCCAATTTATAGTCCCAAAAACGAGTCGAGTCGAGGTCCAAGTTGTGAGCACTATTCAAAAATATATATGTGGCAGCTCTCTTCGGGTCTCTGCTGTGACATTTGCTGGCCTGTCTCTGTCCCATGCCTCATGCCCCATGCCCCCCATGCACCCTGCCACTGTCCCTTCGATCCATGCCTAACAATGAGGACCCAAAAAAAGCAGTCTAATTAAAATTTCCCTACAACTTTTACTATTAAAATGCGTAAATTAGCATTTATACAGCCCGCTGTCGGGCTGTGTCGCAGTGTGTGTCTGTCAGTTCTGTCTGTAGTGATGTGTGTGTGTGTGGGTGGGTGTTTGTGTGTGCTTGGAGCAGGAGTAAGAGATGGAGAGTCCCGTCCTGGCTGCGCAGTCAGCAAATTTTAGAGAGCTACACGAATCGGAATTGGAAAATTCGGAAATGGTAGACAAAAGCTGTAAGAACAGAGAGCTTCAGCTTTCTCCTCTCTCCCCACTCCCCACTCACCACTCCCCACTCCCGTGCAGCAATTAAGTTCAAGTTCAGAACTGTTTATAGAGCTATTCCAATGGAGGGAGCTCTGCTGTTCTGAAGGATCTCAGCTTACGCTCCATAGATTGAACTGAAATTTAGCTATTCGCCTCAGAAAACTGTGCTGACAAATTCACACTTATATTCGTAGAAATTAATAGAGTAATCTGCAATAGCCCAAGCAATATTTAGCAAAAAAAATTCGATGCTTTGCAGCATATTCGATCTGTGACTAAGCAAACCCATGCGAAAGAGTTGGCTGTGATATTGTGGCGCAGATTAAAGCCATTGCCCAAGATGTATGTAGAGTCGAGACAATGGAAATTAGAAAGCTTTGTTCGAGCGTATCCAGCAGCTTGCCAATTGGCATACAACGGGTTTTTCAAGCGGGACTTTTCTCACGCCCCCATGGGTCCACATCTACTATGTGGATGTATGCTTGGGGAGGGAGGCCCACGCGCGAGCTTCTGTCGCAATTAAACAATTGAAATGCCAGAGCGAGCCCCTACCTACCCATTCCCATGGTATTGATCGGATCCGACGAATCCGTCGGGCCACGCAGTCTGCCAGCGATGCCGTCGGCCCAGGCGTGATGCTCTCAGAGAGCTCGGCTCTGCTCTGCCGATGAGAAGTGCGTGCTAGCGGAATGTGGCTGTGGTAATTCGATATTTTGTGAGCAGGTTGCAGGATCTCGAACGGGCAGGATGATTCATGCGAGAGCGTAGCCTGTTTTTCAAGCGAATTCGTTTATTTACAGGAATTTGATTGTTAATTAACTTGCAATTACAAACGCAAGGGATCGGGCATCAGGGATCGGGCTTCGGGGATCGGGCATCAGTGGATCTTCGATCGTTTGGCTGTCAAAATAAATATTGAATTTCCCCCCCGGTCGAAGGGCCGATTAATGATGATGATGATATATTATTGCTGTGAGCAATTTGTCCGTAATCGGATATCTTATTTTTTTTTTGGCATAGTTTCTCTAGTTTTTCCTCGCACATCCTTTGCAGCATCCCACCTGGCGGCCATTGGCTACAGTTTTTCCCTCTTCCACTCACATTTGTTTTGTTTTTGTTTTCGTTTTCGCTTTGCTTGGCCCTTGGCTTGGATTGTCCTTCAAGTTCCAAGAAGCTCTGTCCCGGATTCCACCTTCTTCATTGTTTTGCAAATATTTTGACGTGCGATTCTCTCACACAACGAGAGCGAGAAACGACACAGAGACACTGGGAAGGACGGACAAACCCCTCGACTACCTGGCGACTGTCGGTCTGGGGTTTGGGGGTTTAAGGTTTGGGTTCTGGTTCTGGTTCGGGCAGTGCTCCCGATGCCTCCATGCTCCATGGCCGATACCGGGTGCCCTGTCCGGAGCTGCGAACTGCTTGAGCTGCTCTTCACATTTCTGGTAGTTGACATGGCCCGCCAAATGATTCAATTATGACGATTGAGGCCCGCCGCTCAAGTGCGAAAGTTGACCAAAATCCCCAAATCGATGCCGAATCCGAGACCGAATCCGAATCCGAAGTGTTCGAATGTCAATTAAGTGTCGAGATTTATTTACTTAACTATTATTGTCTTGAGACACAATCAAAATTGGACAAACTTAATTATGAACAATTAAAGTTCAGTTACTTTTTGTGTAGGCTCTCCCCTCTTCTCCACACCTCTCTTCTCATCACCCCTCTTCCGATTTACAAACACTTTTACCCCCCGATTATTTTTGGGCAATAACTTCAGATTCGAGTGATGGCCGACAGACAGGCCACAACGAGGGACGCCTTCAAGAGAGCCGTTGTAAGACCAAAAGCCAAAAATATTAAAACCAAAAAAAAAAGAAAACACAAACCAACAATATTGAATTGAATCGCACAAAAACCCAACAACCAGCAATTGTTGCTGCACATTGTTGTGTAATTAAGTTGTTTCGCTGTCGGCCACAAGTGCGTTGAACAAATCTTGTTAACTCTTAGAGTCGTAGATGGAGATGGGGACGGGTATGGGGGTGATGATGATGTTCAGGGAAGCTCATACAATATTATTGTCACACAATTGTTGCCGTGTGATTAGTTGAAACTTTAATTGCCGCACAATGGCATAATAATAACGATAATGGCCCAAAGGCCCAATGGCCAAACGACACACAAAAGCCAAAAGAAAAAACACTCTAAAATATCCAGCTGGAAACTAACGAATATTGAATACCCTAAGCTGAGGAAATTATTCGATATAGTTGTGGTAATTTAATATTAAATAGATTAAATGTTATAACTAAAATTAATTGCATTTGGAAGTTCAATAAATATTATATTCAATTAAAAGTGTTTCGTACACACATGTTAGCTGTGTTTATTTGATTTTCTGATTCTATTTTGACTGCAAAGATAAGTTGTTTTAATGGCGTAATTATTATTTATTATATAAAATATTATTTATAATTATATTTCTACTAAAATACCTAAAATATATATGTATTTTGTTTAGACTCTTTATGTGCTATTTGGCATTTGCCATCGGGAATATTTGTGAGCATAGACGGCTAGTCTTTGGGCTATTACGAGCATCCCCAACAATGTGCAAGAAACCAGACATACCCTAGGGTAGGGTACATCATGGCATGGCATGGGGGCATTGCGTTCTGTATTAGCCCTGAATTATGATCGTCATTATCATATTACCATTATTTATTATTGTTAATGCTGTTGGTGGTGGCTCGACCATTGTTGCCTTTGTGTTTCAACTGATTTCGAGTTTAGTTTTCAATTATTTAATTGTCTATTTGGGGCCTCTCTCCACACCGCATTGTCTCTTCTTGGGGTAACGTGAGAAAATGAATTTCTGCCATTATTCGGGATGAGGTGAACGAATCCAAAAGTTTTTGCTCCCTTATCGGGAATCAGTTTTCGATTCCCTGCTCACAGAGGGCGCCACTGCGCCCCCTTTTATGGCTAATTTTCGCGCCCGAAGGCAATCAACGCCACTGCGACTGGTTCGTGTCTCCGCTAAACGCTGCACAGAACTGCGACCGCAATTAGGAAAACTTTTGATTTCTCCGTTTAATTAGCAACTAGCTAATAGCTGCAACTAAATGTCGAAACTACAATCTATTTTAGTGGGATTTGTCATCTATGAGTGCATGTTGATTTAAGCTGAACCGTACCCAAAAGTTCCCTGCACTTTTCACAAATTTTGTTGTCTTTCCCCACCGCCACTAATCCCTGTTTCCACACAGTGATTCCTTATATTAACAGCTATATATGTTAATAGGATTATCTGCACTAATTTCCATCCGGAGAGGAGGGGCAACGAAACGAAACTGTTGAAAATACTTGATCATTTGTATGGGGTGAAGTGCGAGAGAAAAGTGATTTATCATTTGAGAACACTTGAGAGTGAGGATGCTCTGACAAGGGTTGGGTTGCTTCGTATCTGGTCTGGGACTGAGACTGGTACTGTTACTGCGACTGGGACTGTGACTGGGCTTGGGCCTGTCTTTGGCCCTATGTGTGTGCTACCGAAGTGGCCGAAGAGTGTGCTCGACAATGACGACGAACCAATTTATGGGACAGGCCGGGCAGACAGACGACGGGCACTTGAATAAACCGAAAGGCAAACACTACACCAAGAGAGGGATAGTGATGGATAGGCTGAAGCAGTAGGGTGAGAAACGAGAGTGAGAGAGAGAGAGCGGAGGTGTGATTAGGGGTGGTGGCGGCTGTTGCCAGTGGTGGTTGCCGGATTGTCTGCCTGCTGGTGGTTGTAGTTGCTCATGAGGTAAATTAGAAAATAAGCAACAAAAAATGCAAAGCCAAAATAAATTAGTAGCCAACACACCAACAAAATAAGGGAACGGAATGGAACGGAGTATAACGGATCGCGAGGGGTGTGAAATCCAAAATGGCCGAAATAACGACAACTACAACA